GTTATTAATTGTAATTTTCACTGGGGAAATTGGAGCACAAAGCATCACAATGTTCCCCTAATTACGCTGTGGCAGATGGAACAGCAAGAACTATATCTTCTGCCAATTAACTATATTTGTCTTCTTAAATTACAAGTGCTTGGTCATTTCAGTAAATATCATGATTCCTATTTTACGCATAAACTTTTTGTTCCTCTGGAATAATATATTCTCCTCCCCTGCCCACCGGAAATAAAGAAATTGGAGCAAAATGGAACAAAGAAGATAATATGTTCAAAAGTGCCATGATTTAATATTTTCATGCCACCACTTGAGTATGAATTTAGAATAGATTGCAAGGGACAGCAAGGGGCAATCAGGTAGAGAGCTTAGCATAATAGGTGTTTCCAATGTACCAGAGTCTGGAGGATGAGAGGGCTTGTCCAGGTGGAACAGAGGGTGAGAGGAGGAAGTAGCCCCTGCTCAGCCTGGGGGAGATGGGGAAGAAAAGCTCCTGAGAAAAGAGACATTCATGAGGGAGCATTCATGAGGTGGGTGAAACCCAAACTATGGTAGTTCTTCTAGATTCCAAGTGGAGGGAGGGGATGGCAAAGGAAAGAAGAATCCGAGATCATTGGCATGAGAATTTTGGAAGGGATGTGGAGTAGGGAGTTGCAATTTAAACTGGAAGAAGCCATAAAAAGAGTTAATGGTAGCACTAATGACATTTTCTAGACTACAAGGTGCTGTAGGAAATTGCTTATGCTTGAAATGTTTTGATCTATTCCCTCCACCATTGACTCGGTTGGGTTTCCTGTCTATAAAATATATGATCAAGTGGCAATGATGAGCCTAGCTGTTACTTATTTTTTGCCGTGTGCTGTGCCAGGGAGCAGATATATGTGGCATGTTCCCTTGCAGTGAAGTATGGGGTGCAAAATTATAATTTGGTGGAAGTGCAAAAACTAAATGATTTGCAAGTTATGGAGGTAGCTCACAGAAAAGAATGTTGCCTGGATAAGAGGAGGGAATTCTGGGGAGCTTTTGCAGAGAAGCATTCTGGAAGCTAAATAAGAGACAGGCACATAAGGAAGGAACAAGCATTTTTTTATTTTATTTTATTTTTTAAAAGATTTTATTTATTTGAGAGAAAGAGAGTGAGAGAGAGAGAGAGAGAGCACAAGCCAGTGGGGAGAGTCAGAGGGAGAAGCAGACTTCCCACTGAGCAGGGAGCCCGAAGCAGGACTCAATCCCAGGACCGTGGGGCCATGACCTGAGCTGAAGGCAGATGCTTAACCGACTGAGCCACCCAAGTGTCCGAGAACAAGCATTTTAAATGGAAGAGATAGCATGTGAAAATTCACTGAATCAAGATTTTTCAAAGGAAATAATTCTCTTCAAATACGTAACACAACACAGATTTTTAATTCATAGTTATTGTGTGTGTTTTTTTTTTAAAGATTTTATTTATTTATTTGAGAGAGAGAGAATGAGAGAGAGCAAGCACATGAGAGGGGGGAGGGTCAGAGGGAGAAGCAGACTCCCTGCCGAGCAGGGAGCCCGATGCGGGACTCGATCCAGGGACTCCAGGATCATGACCTGAGCCGAAGGCAGTCGCTTAACCAACTGAGCCACCCAGGCGCCCCCATAGTTATTGTTTTAAATAAAACTCTGGTGCTAGAGGACTGTCATTTTCCAGGTTATTGTGGGGAGGATGCTTGGGGTCATGGCTCTTGGAATAGTCATTGTTTTTAAAATTTTTTCTACTGCCTTTCAATAGTCATTTGTCAATTTTGGTACTGACGAATCTCTCTTTCCTCGCGCTGCTCTCTCAAGTAAAATAAAAAATAACATTGCCAGTATTTTTCACAATCTGTTCCTTACCCCATCTTTGTCAGAGCACCCGTGAAGGAGGGACTCTGACTCTATTCTTTGTGTTACAGAAGGCTCAGGTTACCAAGAAAGAGTGGATTCAGTTGAAACTGGGCAGTGGTATCTCAGTAGTGCTAGTTTTCTCTACCTTTTCTCAAGGTCTGGGACTTTCTTTGACTTTTGGGTTGATCTCAGAAGATCAGTCTATCAGGCAAGAAGCAAGCCTGTTTCTGTGGTGACCATAGTCAGTGTGGTTTTGTGTCAGTTTACCTAATCTGCAAGTACGGTTCCTAGAATTTCTTTCCTTGTCTGATTCTAGCTTAGCCCCAAGAGAAATTGCCTGAAATTTGGGAGAACAGGCAAAGTGGTAGCCATACCACTCTGAAGGCTTGTTCAGGGCCCCCGGGTACTGCTGCCACTCCGTGGGACTCATCTCCAGGCCCATTTGTTGACCTTGTGCACCAGTTGGGACCCCAGCTCCTCTCACTCCTGTTGGATCCCTTTCTTCAGCTTCTCAACTTTCCGGGCAAAGCTTATGTACACGGACTCAGGAAGCTCACCAGCTTCTGCAGGTCACCCGTGTTGTTAAGTGTGAGAAGACGAGGTTTCCAGTTTGTCTTCACTCTCTCCCACTTCATGTCAGGCTGTCAACCCTGCTCACTGATGGTCACTTCAGGCCCCTGACCAGAAACAGAGCCAATGGCCTTTCATAGGCTTTCACTCTTCCCCAGCATCTACAATCGTGTCAAGTTGCATTCCTAGTAAATCTCTTCTTTCCTATCCCTCGTTGTGGTTCTTCTTCCCTGATTGAAACTTAACTGGTATAAGTCCTTCACAACACGTCATGATGCTAATGTAACTGATTTGTGATCATTAATGGTGATAAGGAATTAGGATGGCATAAGTAATTGAAATGACAGGTAGTCGAGTGTCTTATTTAATAATTTCAACCATTTCTCCTAACAAATATCAAAATTAGATGACTCACATTTCACCACCTTTGCAAATGGATTGAATGATGAAGTCAGTGAATGATTCTTTCATATGGATTAGTACTTTTTTCCAAAGAGCACAATCTAGTGCCATGGGGGATTAAAACCCTTGTAAAAGCTATCTTGTTTTTGGCATAGAGTGGGGTTGTGTGGAGAGAATTTCCAGGTACGATAAAAGGAGCAGGCTAAAAATTTCCATGATGTTTTTGTTCTAGAGTATGCACACATACAGAGAAAGGTGGACACCATTTTTAGAAATTCCAAGAGCTCTTATTTTTGCTTATGTGAATCAATCCTTCTTTGACTCTGGGCTTCACCCCATGCCTCGCTTTGGCCAATGGACACTAACAGGTGACACACAGAGAGAGGCTAGACAAGTGCTTGTGCATTGGGATTTGACCTTTTGGAAAGTTCCTTTTTGGGAGCTTGTGGTCATACTATAAGGAACCTTGGGCTGAATCATGAGAGGCAATCTGGAGAGAGTTTGGAGGATTAGGGGCTGTCTTGGACTTAGCAGCTGAAGGCAGCTGCATGAGCAGAATTCCTAATAAACAGAATTCTGTGCAATAATAGCTTGTAGTTTGGGGGTGGTTCATTATACAGCCATGGAAGATTGAAACAGCTATGACAAAGTATTAATAACAGACTTTGTTCCTCCTCCTTTTTTTTTTTTTTTTTTTAGAAAAAAACCTATGCATCGACTTAGTTCTGACTATGGCTCCTTTCCCCCTTTCCTTAAATTCCTTCTTATTACGTTTCATTGTCTCCACTTCCCCTTTCCTTGTGCGAGCATGGGTGGTCATTTTTCCAGGTGGCATGAGTTGGGAGACAGTTAGAAACCCTGTTTACTCCAGAATATCTTCCTTCTCAGTCTGTCCTGGTACTTGAAACTTCAACATTATTTAAATAATGATTTTTTTTCCTTCTAAGCTAAGAATTTCCATCTCCAAGGATGAATGCGCAACTATCCGTGGACACAGAACATCACTCCCCATCATTCAGCATGGAGCCAGGGTTCATTTGTTAGTTTGCTCTCCCAGGAAGCAGCTGAGAGGAGCTGGCCCTGCCTTGCCTGAGGACCTTGCCCACACATTTACATCGGTCTACAAGGCTTTCTTCTTATTTTGTCATCCAGTTAACTACTTCTCTTCCTTCAGTTCTTGACTCCGTTAATACTTTCTTATGGAAGTGTCCCAGAACCCCCTGATTAAGTCTATTCTATTCCAGGTGCTCATAGAACCAAATGCCTTCTTCAGAGCAATTTCAATTTAACCTTTTTTATATGTAATTATATTATATTTATACCACCTGGGGCGATAAGCTCCAAGGAGATAGAGATCCTGTTGATTTTTGCCCACTGGAGTATTCTCAATACTTAGAATATACTCTGACCCGTGGAATGTGTTCAGTATGTATGTGTTAAGAGAATGAATGGATGGATGGGTGAACTGAGATTCTAAACAATTGACTTCTCTTTTACCTTCTTACTTTAGACATTTTTGTGCCTGGACTGGGTGTTTTAGCCCTATTGCAGGCAAGAAAGCAGGCCCATGGCATTCTAAAAGCTCTGTGAGGTGTTTCAAGAGGGGAAATCAAAGTTAAGAGTGCTATCCTGAAGCTAAGTCTTACTAGAGCATTGTGGACTCCCTTACAGTGCCTTATCCGTTTAAATTCTTACCCTGAATAAAGACCTTCTCAGAAGCAAGAAAACTAATAAGAGTTCACATGAGTACTAGCACGCCTTGTAAAAACATCACTGGGCTGCCATAAATATTCCTGTTTTTCCATGCAATAAGAGTTAAAAGCTTCCCTTTCTTCTATAATTGAACAATTTTGGATTATTAAGGAAGAACTGTAATGCTTCATTTTAACTGAGGTACAACTGACACATAACATTATATTATTTTCAGGTGTACAACATAGGGATTTAATATTTGTATACACTGCAAAGTGATCACCATAACAAGTCAGAACTATAATGCTTTAATACACTTTGTAGTTCTCACATCTATCTTCATTAAAATATGTAATAATTAAACAAAATCATTTATAGTGGGTTTACTAATGTGAGCAGAAAAAAGGAAGTGTTGGAGCTTTATGTTTTATTTTAACATTGCTATTCTGACTTTGAATGGGTTGAGCAAGAATAGCAATCATGATTTAGCCAATATTCAATTTATGAATAGCGTTTTTATAATCCTCTGAGGGTTGTGAAATCAAAAGCTTCTACTTTTATTTCCTTAGGGATAACTGCTGTTTATTTTTCAATTTAGAATATCTGGGAAGTAATTGACCTGGAGAAGCATTTCTCAAAATGTGGCCCTAATGACAGGTAAGAGGAAAATGGTTTCTTTTCTTTTTTTAAATTTTATTTTATTATGTTAGTCACCATACATTACATCATTAGTTTTTGATGTAGTGTTCCAAGATTCATTGTTTGCATATAACACCCAGTGCTCCATGCAATACATGCCCTCCTTAATACGCATCACCAGGCTAACCCATCCCCCATCCCCCTCCCCTCTAAAACCCTCAGTTTGTTTCTGAGTCCATAGTTTCTCATGGTTTGTCTCCCCCTCCTATTCCCCCCCGCTTCATTTTTTTTTCTTTTATTTTCTTGGACATCTCTGTAGCATTTGACACCATTGACCAGCCACTATGGAAAATATCTCTTCTCTAGGATACTACCCACTGTAATTAACATAGTCTATGAGCACATTACCTCTGTCAGAACACCTGTAATATTTTATTTCCCTAAAGTCTACGTCTGCTGGAGAGTGAGCTTCTTGAGGGCAGAGATTGTCCTTGATAAATGGCTAGGTGAATATATTAAAAAAGTCATTTTAGTGTGATAAATGAAAGGGGGGAGGAAGAAAGTAGTGCATGGACTGATACAGAAAATGAAATGTCAAAACTACCCTGGGGGGCGCCTGGGTGGCTCAGTCGTTAAGTGTCTGCCTTCGGCTCAGGTCATGATCCCAGGGTCCTGGGATCGAGCCCCGTGTCAGGCTCCCTGCTCGGTGGGAAGCCTGCTTCTCCCTCTCCCACTCCCCCTGCCTGTGTTCCCTCTCTCGCTGTGTCTCTCTCTGTCAAATAAATAAATAAAATCTTAAAAAAAAAAAAAAGGAAATTAAAAAAACAAAAAAACTACCCTGGGATGTTGGTACAGTGAAATGTGCCACTTTATGCTGTTTTAGGACCCATAGTCTTTGGTAGTAGAAAGGCTGAGGGGAATTGGAAATAGAAAGCAAGCTGATTCTCAATTTCTAAAAATTCAAAACAACAACAAAACTTGGAATGCATATTTTTGACCTTAGCCATAATGTTTGCATTTCACAAATCTCATTCTCTTTTAGAACAGGGGTAAAATGGTGCTCATTTGGGTTTAATTAGTACAGATTAAATCGTGATCCTCAGCAGGAACTGTTCTGTAATTATTCTGCTTCTTCACCAGATGGTGCTTGTGAGCCAATTAGAAAAAGATTGGGTTTATGGTTTATTCACTGAAGGGGAAGCAAGGGGAAATTTGTGAATTAAATAGAATAAGAAAAATTAGAAAATTAGAAAAATTCAAGACAGCCTTTTAGAGTTGTTAGAGTACTTGGAGAAAATCTCATCTTCCTTTTCGGTAAAAATATTAAGCTCTTGAAAGAAAAAAAATACTCATTAGGAACAATCACCAAATTTTGAATGTTTTGTGGGCTAACTGTCCAAGCCTAGTGAATTAAAAAATTCTCTTTCCTCTCCTTAAAATGCAGCATTAATCTTTGGCTGGAAACAAAACCATTTAAATTTTTACATGTGGAGAGTAATGGTTCCATTTCATAGTGTTACTTTGTGAAATGGGTTATTGTCCAGATTTCAAATGGCGTGATAGGCAGTATTCCTTTCTTTTCATTTAGAGGCTTTAAAGTGTAGGAGTTGAAAGAGAAGTTTCTGGATTCATACTACTTGACTTTACCCTAGATCTGCCCCTTCTTAGCTGTGTAATCTTGCGACTTCACCTCTCTAAACTTCCTTTCCCTCATCTTGGAAAATGAGGGTGCCATAGTTTCCACCTTATTGGATTGTTGTGACAATATATATAAAAGACTTAATATGGTGCCTGGCACATAGTAAGCCCTCAAAAAAAGTTAACCTTCTTGACATTTCTCATCATGTTTCACTTACCAATCAAGACTGATATATTCCGAGTCACAAAACAATCATGGAAAATGTAAATTCAATTAAGTTTACATTTCTTTCCTTTTTTCCTCATTCCAGTATTCTAACCTATTACCACTCTGCCTTTATCTATGAAACTCACTTATATTTACCAAGTATTTGTTTCGGGGACAAACTGTCCCTTCAAGCTCAATCGAGACATTTATGTTCTTGCTCAGGGGCATGCCAATCTTCTCTGTATCATTCTGATTTTAGTATATATGCTGCCGAAGCGAGCACAAGGCATTTATGTTCTGATGTGTGGTGGTTGTGATAGCTTAGCTTCTTCTAAACTTCAGGATAGGATGGTTTCGTTTTCTCGTTACAGTCCCTGAGATTGAATGATTGCAGTGACTGACAGCAAACCTCTCCCCAAGGAGCTTCTGTTGCTGACAGAACCTGAAGGATGCTACAGTGGATGGCAAGTATCACAGCAAAGCAAGAAGAGAGTGTGGGGAAGAAATTATTAAAAAGAAATATGTATTCTTCCCCAAATGGGAGCAATATGGACGTGAAAAAGAAAAGGACATACATTTGAATGGATACATCCAAAACTGGAGAAAGGCTATGTCCAGGTCTAGGAAGAATCAGGAACAAATTCACCAGTCACAGTTTTTGTTTACACTTCTATGTGTAGTGTACGTGGACCCCCGTGCCCCAACTGACAGTTATCATCATGTGGTACGATTGATAGGACCTGTGTCCTTTGTGCTGAAAACTAGGACATGATCTGTGAGGAAAATGTAAGTGATTTCTTGGACAGACCATGATGGCCAGAAGACAGCCGGTATTTACCAAGGAGTTACTCTGCTAGGGGCGATGGTAGGAATTCTTCCGGAAGTATCACGTGTTAACGCTCACCACGATTCCACAGAGTTGCCAGTGTTATCAACCCCATTTGTCATTATTGCCATTCTTCCCATTAAGGAAATGGGTATTTGGAGGCGTTCAATAAATAGCTTTTCCTAGATTGCATAGTCAGCGAACAGCAGAGCTAGTAATCAAACCCCATGCCATCTGACTCCAGAGCCTCAGGATTTTATCCATTATCCTGAGATGTCAGTTCAAACAAAGACATTGTTTGAATCGATTCTGGAAGTATAGGCAGCACCCTAAAGGACACATTTCCTAATTGGTCTTCCCCACTGAGACATTAACTTGTCAACATAGGGCATTATCCTTCATTAGTTCCCCACTTGCCTGGGTTGTCAAAGAATCAAACTGTCCTTCCTAATTTGAAGATGATACCACCCCATGTGTGATGTGGCTGAGAAAAACCAACAGCTGACAAGCAGTTCTTTCCACATCATATATACATGCACATTGCTCTCTGGTTTGTGGCTCAAGCCTCTGTTGGCAGAGCCTTGCTTCTGTATTTTGTTCTGCCAAAGTGTGGTCAGCTGAAGCTTAGTTTGAGAAAGGCTTCACTATCACAGAGACTATATGCTCCTCAGGGCATCGTCTGTTCCAGTCCCTCAGCCCCTCCTAGCTTTGCCTCACCATCGTCTGGATAGAAGGATCATCAGAAGTCTTCTGGCTTCCCGGGTTTTACATGCAAGACCTGTTTGAATAGTATACCGAGACCCCTTTTAAATACATGGGTGGTCCATTAGACCTGAGTTGTGATGATTCACTATTTCAAGGCTCGTGGACAGAATGACCTGCCAAACTTGGTTACTGAGTCTTGCCATTTGTTTTCTCGGGCCCGAGATACTTGCTCATTGGATGGGAGATGGTGGCCATGTGTCAGAGTTACAGGGAGGTTTGGTCACTCTCCCTGTTTTAGAAAACTTCACTGTGGTCAGGTGCTTGACTCCTCTTCCAGGGCCCACCAGTCTATAATTCTTATCCAGTCACCCTACAACCAATTGTCCATGTAGAAAGACAGCTGGTGGCCGGGACTGGGGGTGAACTTGGTGACAACGGGTCATGATGGCTTGGCATTCACCTGCTGAGAAGGCAGCTGCAGTGAACTCATCTTCTTTGTACAGTATCATCCCTTCCCCTCCTCCTCCTTCTCTTTTGGGATCACATTTACTGGCTGCATATTGCAAGCTAGGTATTGGGTTAGCCAGGGTTTCTCAACCTCAGCATCTTTAATATATTAGTCCAAATAAGCCTTTGTTGTGGGGGGCTGTCCTGTGTATTGTAGGATATGAAGCTGCATCTCTGATCTTCATCTCCTATGTGCCAGGAGCAGCCTCTCATCCTCTCCCAGGCGTGATAATCAAAAGAATCTCCAGACACTACAAAATGTCTCGGGGCGGGGCGGGGGCGGGGGGGCAAAATTGCCCCTAGTTGAGAACCACTGGTCTAAGGATATTGTTGAATTTAATCCTCATAATAATTCTATGGAACAGGTAGAATTATTATTTCCCATTTTACAGGTGAGGAAATGGAGGCTTATAATAATGTTAAGAATTTGCTGAGGGTCATACAAAGAGTAATTTCTGAAACTGAGATAACAGCACAAATCTGACTTTAAGTCCTGATGTCTTTTACCTCTGTGCCATACTAATTACTATTATATGAATTTGGGGTTCTTTTATTTATGCAGGAACGATGCCCTCTGAGAGTCTGCTCCCAGATCATATTTAACTACTTTTAGTCCCTGCATATATTTTATTTTTTCAGTATTCTGTGCCTTTGCACATGCTGTTCCTTCTCCCTAGATTAACTTTGCTGCCTCTCTCCATCTAAAGAAAGCAAATTCATCTTATAGCCTGAGGTTTAATGTCACCTCTTACATGACCCTAGACCTGGTCGCTGTACATATACCTACCCACTCCCACTCCCACAAGTTGCCAGAGTATTTTGTAGTTACAGATAGAACACGGATGTAATTTTAAGTGATCTTCTAAAAACATAAAATGGAAAGAAATAAGATCGTATTCTAAGAGTTGAAATGTGTAATAAACACATACTCTATCAGATTAGAGATTTACGAAGTTACTTGAAAGAGACCAAACTGTCCCTGATTTAAAAACTTGGGCTATTTCCTTATAAAAGGATTGCTGTATCCAACAAAAAAAGTTTATCCATTAGAATAGGGCTTGGGCTCATAGAAATAAAGACAGAAGCACCTGGTGATGATGTCTATCCCAGCACTGTCCGGGGTAAAGTGTGTTCTGTCGGGCCCACGTAAGCACCCGGTCAGTCTGCTGGTTACACTGACTGTGGATATTGGGACAGCAGAGTGGTAGAGCCTGATTTTGTTAGGTGTTTGACCCTCCACTACACCGCTGTTTCCTCAAGGATGGAGCCCTACCACAAGGCATAGACAAGATGATGTAGGTAATACATGCATGTCCTTAAATAACATAGACTCATTTGGTGAAAATGTGATCATATTCTGATACATGAAGCAGAAAGTTTCTTGGGGCCAGTGTGTCTTGAATGTCTTTAATATGAATCTCCCTTTTAAGCATAGAGAGAGCAGGACTTGCACTCAGGTCCCTTTGCATATAATAATTTCTACTTAAATTTAATATTATTACTTAGTGTCCATTTATTCTTGTTTCTATAATATGTTTTGTTCAATCAGTCAAAGGCAAGTTATATTAGTTTTCCATTTAAAGTAGTGATTTAATGTTTCTTTTAAAAGTGACAAGTTAATAAAATGAATCAATTTCTTTTTAAAATTTAAATTCAATTTATATTGGCATGGATGGAACTGGAGGGGATTATGCTAAGTGAAATAAGTCAATCAGAGAATGACAATTATCGTATGGTTTCACTCATATGTGGAACATAAGAAATAGTGCAGAGGATCGTAGGGGAAGAGAGGGAAAACAGAATGGGAAATGAATCAATTTCAAGAAAAAAATGAAATAAATAGCCAGGTAGTTGTGGCAAGAAGATATGTCAAAGTCAGGTGGGATTAGGGTGACCAACTCATCTTTTTTTTTTTATTATGTTATGTTAATCATCATACATTACGTCATTAATTTTTGATGTACTGTTCCATGATTCATTGTTTGCATATAATACCCAGTGCTCCATGCAGAATGTGCCCTCTTTAATAGCCATCACCAGGCTAACCCATCCCCCACCCCCCTCCCCTAGTGACCAACTCATCTTGATAGGAAAACAGAACGTCCTGAATCCCACTCCAGTCCTGTGCAAATTGAGATGGTTGGTCACTCTCAAGTAGAATACAAAAATGTTTGGTGTTTCACAAACACTGTATTACTCATTCAAATTGCAGGAAATGCAAGTCAGCCCAGATAATTCTAATGAAGATACGTACAGAGGTGTGGGCAGGTTAAGGGAGCAAACTAGATCCTGAGGTGGTCCGCGGAGACTAGCAACAACTGGAAACCATTACCTATCTGGAGGCTGAAGATGCAAGGGGGAGGAGGTGGTGTTTCCAGGCTCAGGGCCCAGGCAGTGGAGCTGGAGCCTAAATGGTGAGATTCCCCGTGGTCTTGAGGGATGAGCTTTCTGCCAAGAGAAGTAGAACCAAGCAAGGAGAGACCAAGGAAGAAACATCCCAACTTTTCTCTTTTCCCACCCTCTAATTTCCTCCTGGTGCCTCTCAAAATCTGAACCCAAAGTGAAGCCTCTGGCAAGGAGGGTAGGGGCGTGCATGCAGGCCACTGGGGCTAGCCTCTCTGGACATGGTGCAAGGCAAAGAAGGACCAAAAAGGAAGATGGAGCAGAGGAAAGGAAAGGAACAGAGGAAAGGAGCAGAGGAAGACCACATAAAATTCCAAATTCATTAGATCATCTTCTGGTATGGTTTGCCATGTAGATACAGGGAGACAATAGGCTGGTCGGCCTGACCCATAAGTATTTTTGTTTTTTTTCTCATTAAATGTTAATGAATTAGCATGTTGGTTTTATAAACCAGGCTTCTGTGAGCTTTATCAGAGTAATTTTTCCTGAGTTTGATAAACTCTGGGATACTGTTGGAATAGTGTTTCTGAGAAACAAATAGATTCCGGGTGTGGTAAATTTACCAAGCAAATGTCACCTTGCGCTAGATTGCATGAATAGTTCCACTGGCCTCCCTCAGACAAAAAATACACCCTAACGTCACAGTTGGATGAGCTCTACTCCTTTCAAAAGTATTACAGTTACCTCAGTTTTAGCACTCTTTGGGTGACCCAGTTGCTACTGGTACTGAATTTCTCACCCACAAACCTGTCTTTCTTGTGAACCAGATTGTATCTCTCACTACCCAACACATAGTGGTGGTTAGATCTGGAGTCCTTAGTGCATCATATAAAGTTTTTCGAAATTTGGCTCTTGATTTCCTCTTTAGTTTAGCTTTGCACGGTATACCTTTTTTTTTTTTTTTTAAGATTTTATTTATTTATTTGACAGAGAGAGACACAGCGAGAGAGGGAACACAAGCAGGGGGAGTGGGAGAGGGAGAAGCAGGCTTCCCGAGGAGCAGGGAGCCAGATGCAGGGCTCG